AATAACTGCAAGATTATCCTTTGGAGTAGAAATGTTAGAATATTGCTAATAGTTATGTAGCCGGGATGAAAATAAATTGCATCAGTGTTTGGATTTGCCTGCTAGTATGAGAATTGATACCTTTTTATTTTCCTAATCCTGTTTTATACTACTGTGGATTACACAAATACGCAGTCCAAAAACATTTTTTAAAGATTTATTAATTTTTATCCGATATTTTAAATTAAAAGATGTTACTGCCTTCAAGGCAAGTCCAGTCATAAAAATAGAAATAATGTTTCAGGAATCCTATCAGTTCTTTAGGATGACACATAATCCGAAGTGTGAGTCCTACTAATACCTCGCTGTGTAGGACAGCAAATTCTGTAGATTACTGTTATACTGCATTTAGGAAGGAATAGTGGACATAAATGTTTTAAATGGACTTACATTTGGTTTAGAATTTAAATAAAATTCCTCTTATTCCTTAGAACTGCAACAGAGGAGTGCCCAATTTACTCCATTTATTTAATGGGCCACTGCCTTCTTTCATATTTCTCTTTTGTAAACATTGATTTTCTTGTTTATGTTTTGTTTGTGTAATTTTTTATTGTCATGTTCTTCAAATCTGCTTTTATAACGTGTTTCAGTAAGAGTTTAGCTATAACGCAAGACTGACAAAGGGAGTGAGGTACCAGTGTTATAAGAACATCATACTTGATATACACTGTGTTGAGTTCAAGGTTAAGAAACAGGTGGTCATTGAAGTGAAATCTGTTTCAACTCAACTTTAATCTAAAAGCATTATTAGATTGTGAGTGTCAGATGAATTTATTTAACTCCTTGCACAGAACAGCTTTCGTATTCACAGAAAATAACTCCGGCTCATAGAATGAGAACTGCCTGCCTTGCAATCTCTTCAATTCCCTGGTTTTTTTTGAGGTTTTTCAATTGTGAAGGTAGGAGTTCCCAAATTTAATTTTTTTGGAGAGTATAACCTTATCTCCAAAGGAGTCACCACACGGACGTTTTCAGGTTTTGGTAAAAAAGAAGATGTATGCTGTGCATAGACTGTAACCATTTAAAACATTACCATACATCTGCTGATAGTTATATTTTTTTATTTTTTATGAGAATCGCATTTTCTCTGAAAAGTAGATTATGTTTAGGATGATGTCATACTTAACATTTTGTTAGATAGCAGTGACATGCATTATCTGGGCAGTAGCTACTGTGTCATAAACTATAGTGTAGATGATCACATTCGATACTGTGATAAAAACATCAAATATTTTTTGATAATGTCAGTTTTCAACTGTATTTACTATTAGCTTGGGATAATTTGCATCCCAGTTTGTTTGGGCCTGAGAGAGACATTTGCCACAGTCTAATGGTATGAGTGTTTACAACAGAGTTAGAAAATCTAAATTCAAGTTCGTGATTCAATGAATTTGTAATTATTGTGTAACAGAGTCGCATGAACACGCAGACTTTGCAGACAAACAGATGTGTAACAAATAACTGAGTTTATCACTGGTTCATTTCCTAAAGGAAGTGGCACACAGCCTCTCAGTCTAATTGATCAGGTTCACAGGAGGTAGTGAATCTTGCACATCAGAGTTTAATTCATGCAGCTTTGATTTATTTGAGCAGGATTGTCTGCCTCATTATGCTGATGAGGGTTCTCACACTTCCATGGCGTTGTTTCTGATATTCTCTGGTGTGCGTTTGCCATGACACCGCAATATGATTTCCCCTGGGGATCTAATCACTCAAGTAAATGTTGGGCAGCCAACAGCTACATAATTAACAAAGTCATGAAATTGCTTTTTAGAATTTGACTTCTGTTTTATCAAAGGGAACTCAGGAGCCCTAAACTTACACTGACATTCTTTGGAGGTACTGACACAAACCAATACCTTTCAGGACAAAGGTCTTGAACAGGAGGTTCAACAGATATATTTTGGATGATGTCCTTTATCATTTGATGTTCCCAGGTTGTCTAACCATGTAAATTTTTTTGCCTATGTTTTGAGTAAGTATGTTTGTTTCATTCTACATTTCTTGTGGCGGGTTAAAATATTAAAATTGTGACTCTCTCTCCAAGCCTTTCCTTGCAGTTCTGGTTGAAAATGCAGTAAATATTGATAAGGATCAGAAGCGTGTCTGGAGTCAGAATTTTCCAAAAAAATTACCTTTTTGTCTGAATTCTACATTTGTTTCCACTGTGTAGTCTTTTTTGGGTGATTTAGCTTCTGATGTATGGCTAGAACTATGGATTTCCCAGCAACAGGGCTGTTTCAGAAAGAGAAGCTAGGAGGGTTTAAGTTGAAAATCTTTCCTAGAGTAGCTGATTTCAAAACTTGAACTCACATAACCCAGTAACTTGAGAATCAAAAAATTCCCACCCAGACTGCCATTCAATACATGTTCCGGAGACCACTGATAGTTTTTAAAACACATCCTGCAACTGCTGATTCTGCAAGTAGTTGTTTGCCATAATCAGATGTAAAAGCCCTTTATCTACTATCACCTGATGGCTGTGCTATAACCTTTGGCTTCAGACTTCTGGTAGGAGCTCAGTATGTATTTTCACCAAGAATGAAACTCTAATGGCCTTAACAGCAGTACTCATTGTGTGTAACAGTGCTGGAAATTAGTTTCTTAGGCGCTGATCTTGACAGGTCAGCTGTCACAAATTGATAGACATATCTGTAAATACATCAGTCCTATAAACAAAATTGTGTCTGCGAGAAGTGGAGGCTAAAATTGGCACAGTTCTGAACACGTGAAAGGTTCCAAAGCACAAGGATGCACAGAAAAAAAATCCCTTCTGGAAATGGTTTTCCTTATGTTCCATCTATGAATTTTATCTGCATAGTTTGCTTTTTAGAGACTGAAAAGTTTGTGCCTGTATAGAGAACACTATAGAGTTCTGTTCTGAAGTGACATTTGCTCCTTGTCTTTGCACTTACCCCTGCTGCATAAAAGAGGAATCTTTGTGTTGCTCCCTTTGAACAAAAGGAATAAGTTTACAGTTTTGCACTGGCATGTCTCCAGTATTTTTTGGAATTCTTGGAGTTAGTGCAAAATGTGAAACACAGGGTATGCAACAAGTTTTACGTTTCCCATTTTTTAATAAATATTTATTCATCACTTGTTGATTTTGCAAGCCATTTTGGCCAAAAAATCTTAATCATATACTTACCGCCTAGGTCTACTGGAGAAGGTTAAACAGTGAACTTTCTTTACAGATTTGAGACACAATATATACCACACACACACCTATACTAGTCTTTGAAGTCGATGAACCACATTGATTTATGTCAAATGACAAATACGTCCATTTGGTTTGGCAATAGCAAGAGTAAGAAACAAATGGAAATATTTCAGAGCAAGCATCTAAATTCAAATTCAGAAGATACCATGGCTACAGGTCTTTATCTACCTGTTTTGCTGCAGACACTTTTATGTGTAGAAGCTCATCTGTCACTCCAAACTGTCATCACAGGGGAGAGTTTTCAATCTGAAATACTTTAGCTTTCAGGTGTGCCATTAGAAAGCTGAATATTATTCATTCATTCACCTCCTCCATCCTCCAGGTCATCTGGATAAAAGGAGGTGTACTTTAATTCTTTCCTCTCCAATGTCTCAACTTTCAAGATTTAATGACTATGGAATAATTTTCATCAGTTGTGATAGTTCCTGAATATTCACTGAATGTCTCGTTCTTTTTCTAGTTCCCTGTTTATCAGTTTAGTGCAAAAAAAAACAAAAATAAAACTGTGCAGATCACTTCCATCACATTTTATTTGTTGACTTGATTTGTGAGGCTTTAGGATAAAACTGAAGTCATAGAAATAAATCATGTAAGACATCTAGCCATAGGCATTTTCAGTGAAATAAGTTCTTTCCAAGAAGGTTTTGACTTGTTACATGAAAATTAGCTTCTGGGAGGAGGAATCCATATTTCACAGATCTTGGACTGTGTTTAATTTCTACAGGGCATGCCTTCAGCTAACAACACTGCTTCTACATACGCGAGCATAGTATTGGTGTTTAAGAGTAGAGCTGGAAAAAAAGAAGAAACAGTTTCTACTCGATACTATTTATGACTCTTCTGAACAAAATGACACTCTGGATTCTTGTTTGAAGGCAAAAAGAGTGTCTGACTGCTGCTGCTGCTCAAGAGCATATATAGTTTCAACAATCCAAAGGTCACTTAAGATTGACTTTTCTACTGAACCTGTTCGATTGAGTTGGACTGCATTTCTCTTCCGAAAATGCAGTAAAATTTATTTTTAAAATTACACATTTAATTTAAAAATAAAATATTTAGATGTAATATTCCAGAGAGATATTCTGAAATTATGCATCCAGGTCTATCTGGCAGATGCATGAAGTAGTGGTAGGTATGAGATACTTGTTTATCAGAGCCTGGGACCTCAACAGGCTGCTACTGTTTTAGAGATGAGTTAGAAGTAAGAACAAGAGAAAATAGGACTTAGGATCTGAAGAAAGTCTGAAAGAGGAGACAATTTGACACCATAGAACCTATGTCAAGAATTTATTACTATAGGTGAGCACACACGTTGTGCAGCAGGAAAAATGGTCAGTCTTCGATAAATAGTGGGGAATTATTTGAAAATAGGCAGGAATCCTAGCAGAGAGGGAAATCTGGGATAGTGAAACCACAGATAATCCTCAGAACTGTCAGGCAATATAAACTTACTGAAGAGAAATGTCTTATCAGAGTGATCTAAGGGAAATAATATGACAAATGCCACAGATAACAGAGCGGTTACATTGTGCACATCGATGAAAATACATTCAGGCAAGGTACTTGTTTATGTCTATCCTCTGAATCTCACTAATTCTGATTCTGCATTAAAAAAACCCACACATCTCTCAACTTCTCTATATCAGTTCTGGATTTGGTCAAACTACCATTAAATGTTTATGTAAATGCTGAAAGATTTCTGCTTACCAGGCCTTCGGACTCATTGCACTTTTTGTTCTAGTTGGCAACGTGGGACTCTGAGAAAGGACTGAATGGCAGCCTGCAGGAGAGACGTCTGGGCAATGACTTACAAGGAGTGACACTCAAAGTGGTGACTGTCTTGGTACGATGCTCTTTGAAGGATCTTTCTTTAAGGAAACAAAATGCTCAAAATAAAAAGGAGCCGACTGGGTATTTTGGGCACTTCCCGCAGTGTTTTTGCCTATCATTTTCAGTTCTGTATTTTTGGATGATCAGTTACATAAGCATGGAAGATAGATGATGGCCTTTTATTATTCTATGTGAAGCTGTGCGCTGTCAGAGATACAGAGCATTTGTTTGTTTGCTTGTGCTGTTTTTCTGCATTGTAATTCCTACCGGGCACAGAACCAGCACAGGGCCTGAGTGCACAGGGGTGCATTCCAGATATTGTGCTTTAACTTGGATAGGCAATTTTCAGCATTTCATGGATTTTAAGATCAGATGGGCCAATTATGATAATCTAATCTTGGCTCTTGTACACTGCAGGCTGTAAAATTTAATCAAGTGTTTCCTCCATCAAGCTCATAAATTCCCATTGAGATAAACTATATCTTTTAGAAAGGTGACATCTTTCCAAAGAAATCATTATGCTTTTGGGACTACTGTCTCTTAGACTCTGAGTGGTAGAAGAGCTCCTGTCAGCCAAGTGCTACATTAGGGGCAAATTAGGGCATAAATGCATTCCTGCCTGAAATATTGTAGTCTGCAGATTGCAGAATGTGATGTCTTTCTGTGGCTTTTAATTATCTTTTTCCAAATCGTGGCATAAATAGGCAGTACCACATAAGATCATTAAGGCACTCCCTCCAGCCCCCAGTTTACTTTTCTCTATTTATGCTGCAGCTGATGGGGGAGGTGAGCAGACAGCGTGAGTACCAGGGTGCAAAGGCAGCCAACTGTGGCGGCTGTGCTGCTGACAGCCCTGGCATTCCCCTGCAGGACAGCAGGACACCCATGCCCAGCAGAAAACATACCCCAAAATGCTGCATTTCTTTGTTCCCACAACATACTTATAAGTTTAAATATTCTAGAAACTATTACCCAAGAAGGTTATTCTTTGAATTTTCAGAAATTTTATTGATCAATAAGTGCAGTGTTTTTAGTGCTTGTTTCAGTATGTCTCCTGGATAAAAGATTAGGCATTGTACAGAAAAGATGGCTTTCTAAATTTAATATGGTCTGAGATACATGGGCAGTAGTAATCTTCCTATCTAGGACTCACGTGCTGAACTTAATATCTGTATTCTAGACAGCTACTTAGGACACTAAGTTAGGTCTATGTGCCCCCTCTATAACCAATGAGAAGAGGCAGGTATTTTAGAGAGGAACTAATCCTGTGTACACCAGGAAGCTGCTAGAGGAGGTCGAGTTGTCTTCTGGGGTCTCTGCCTCTTCTCAAGAACTATGGAAAACCCAGGGCCATGGATAGGGCTCAGGTGCTGAGGCAGTGGTGTCTGGTTGGGATGCTTCACAGTATCTCACGTTGCCTACAGTTTTTGCACTCAGAAGGTTATGAGTGTCTCAAAATCCGTGCCAAGTTGTTCAGAATTGACTCAGGAAACATCCTTTTGCTAAGAGGAGCAAATTAAAATCTTGTTTCAAGTATCAGTTAAGATATTTTTTTGTTCTCAGGAAGAACCTTTTGTGATGGTGGCAGAGAACATACTTGGGCAGCCAAAACGATATAAAGGATTTTCCATTGATGTCCTGGATGCACTTGCCAAGAATCTAGGCTTCAAGTATGAGATATATCAAGCTCCTGATGGCAAATATGGACAGCAGCTCCAAAACAGCTCATGGAATGGCATGATTGGAGAACTCATTAACAAGGTACACAGGGAAAAAGCTGCACTATGAGAAAAAAAAAAAAGGAAAATGAAAAAGAAAAAAATATTACTCTCTGGAGTAGGGTGTCAAAGCTTTGTAAAGGGGTTTAAATATTCTCCTTTCCCCATTTCAAATTACAAGAGAATGAATTAGGATGAAAGCATCAGTGCAGAATGCTTCTGAGCTGTGGATGGTTTAAGTGTGATATAAACTGCAACTTAAGACCCTATATACAGGATAGGAACTAAAGAGTCTCTTGTTTTATTTGCTCCCAACTGCTCTCAACATAAATTATATCAGTGTAAATTTGTGTGTTTACATAGCTATAAGAAGAGAGGGCATGCTTGTGTGTGAGGGAATGACTACAGAAAATGAAGAAAAAATAGGGTATTCTCCTTCAAATATGAATTTCTATTGTTTTAATTTTTCTTTATGTCTCTGCTTCTTGTTTGTAGATAGGACTTTATTTCTGTCACTTTGTCTGACTCCAGCACAGGAAAAGTGTTGGGACTAGTAGTCCCTATTTGAGACTAGGTCACCCTAGTAATAGGGGACCAGCATTTGAACTAACTCAAGATTATTAATTCATTTAAAACAGAGAGGACCAAATTTCTTTTCTTAACTACAGTCTTGCAAATCCAGAAGTAAGTTAACTGTACTCCGTTTAAGTAGATGGGAAAAGTTTGTAGTTTAGAATCTCTCAGAAAATTGAATTAGAGTATATTTTGGTAATGTTCTCGCTATCTGACATGGGACACATATTAATCAAGAAGAAGAATCAAAGGAATTAATATTCCATGTTGCTGCTCTCTGTAGAAAAGGTTACTCTTCTGCAGTGGAGTTATTACTGAAAATGAAAACTTTCTCATTATCTAGTAAGTAGGTGGCTCAGTATCTGGAAAGTAGATGTTTAGAAAGAAATAGAAGCAATTAAAGCAATAGCCAATGTGTATGATAAGGGGAGGCTCTTGGTTGGTGCTAGGAAACAAAGAATTTTTACCTTATTTTGCATTGACATAAGCTGTTTGATTTTCATTGATTTAAAAATGAGTTAAGGAATCCTGTTAAATTTCTTTGGAAATTGCTTTCTTTGAGGCAATAAAGTGTCTATTATGGTATATTTTAAAAGGCATTTCTGCTACCAGTTGTTCCATTGACTCCAAAGGATTTTAAAGCAGACCTCCCTCATCTAATATTTGTTTTACTTTCCCAACAAAATTAGAGATAAGGAACAGAATGTACATTCTGTTTTTTTGAAAAAGAGCTTTTCTTATTAAGATGGAAAAACATTGAAAATCTAACTGCAGCTCTTCAAAAGCTTTGGGAATCTTATTTATTAATTTCTTTTTTTCCTCCATCAAGTTTGCATACTCTTATAGGACCATCTACAAGTAAAACCTAAATGTTGAAGTCAAAGCAGTTTCAAGAACTAGGTTGCTTTTGATGCCTTCTTCCTGTTACTACTTTTTGCAATCACTTTATGCATTTTAAAAAACAAACAAAATCTTCTCCCCAGTTGTCATATAAAGTCTCTTCATGAATATGGAAAGCTGGCAATTCTGCAGGGAGAAAAACAAACACTAGCTCTTTGCACCTTGCTACCAGATACACAAGCTAAATAAATGGTGTTTCTTTATTGCTTGCAGTGCACCAGGTTAATATGATTTGGAGTTTTAGGCCTTCTCTGGAAAACAAGTGGAGGATAAAGGTTAAATAGGTTGCACTTCCAGAGAGTTTAAGAGTAGCTTGACAGGTTACGTTTCGCTACTCTGCTTCAGACCAGGTTCAGAATTGTTCAGGTGCAATTTACTAATGCCTAAATTGTGCAACAGAGTCTGGTTTTATTTTTAGAGTATTTATATAAATACACCTAAATGTTTTAAGTTATAGAATGAAATAGCAAGTGTCTCCTTAAGGCTCACGCTGGCCAAAATGGTGGTGAAAGGAAGAGCTCTGACCTGTTGCGCTTGTCTCGCAGAGAGCAGACCTGGCCATCTCAGCCATCACCATAACACCCGAACGAGAGAGCGTTGTGGACTTCAGCAAGCGCTACATGGACTATTCTGTGGGGATCTTAATCAAAAAACCTGAAGAGAAAATCAACATCTTCTCTCTCTTTGCTCCTTTCGACTTCGCGGTGTGGGCCTGCATCGCCGCAGCCATCCCTATAGTCGGCGTCTTGATCTTCGTCCTGAACCGGATCCAGGCAGTCAGGGCACAGAACGCTTCCCAGCCCAGCCCTTCTGTGTCCTCCACCCTCCACAGTGCCATCTGGGTTGTGTATGGAGCCTTTGTTCAGCAAGGTACTTACCCTCCTATAGATGCCACTGAAAGACCATCAGAAATGGTCTGCCTTGGGTAAAGCAGGGCAGGACATGTCAGTCCTGGCCAGAGTGGGCTAAAGATGAAAGAGAAGGCTTGTATTGGGTGGTAATATGTTTTACTACCCTAGCTGATTGAAAGTGGGAAGAGGTAGGTAAGATTGGGGGGGTTATTTCTTTTTAATGGCTTTTTTGCCTCTCAGTAATTCCACAAAAAGCACTAGCAGACTAGCAGGCTTTTTCTCTTTGGGAAAATTGTTACACTAGAAATAAACTACAGAGCTGCTTGGTACAGAATTAAAACACTTCTTCAGCTCCAAATCTAGCACTTTTTCTAATTGCTTGAATTTCATTTATAAATATAAGTAGAAATTTATATACTTTTGAACTCATGTGAGACAATTCAACTCTTGGTTCTTTGAATTGAATATGAAAATGATTTGTGGTCTTGCAACTACCCTCAGGAATCTTTAGGCATAGGACTAAACCTACTGAATTCAGGAGGATTGTTACCATAAACAAAGTTACTTCTGAAACTAATTGCTTGCAAAATCTGCCCACACAGTTTTTGTGCCATATCTATGTTAGTTCTATTCTTGAAAAGACAGGTCTTGTTGAATGCTGATATGTGGGTAAGTTGTTAACTTTTTTCTATATTTTTGTTGTTGTTGTTGTGATTGCAAGCTTATAAAGCTTCAATTGGAAAATCCATCCTATTGCTATGAAACTTGGTCCCTCATCTCATTAAGGTGGCATCCCTGATGGGTTTAAGTGCAGTAAGATATAATCAGCACAAATGTATGCTGAATTGACTAGCACCAGCTCTATGGGAAAGTTTAGTCTCCAGTGATGTTCGGGCATAACTGTGCTTGAAGACTGCTGGAAAAAAATCTTCACATTAGTTGAAATCTCGTAAAGAGTAACAAGTAATAACACTAATGCTTCAGTCTTTGCAGGTTTAAATACAGCAAAGATAGCACACAAAACATTGGGCAGCTCTGTGGGTTTTTTCCCCCCAGTTTTAAAATGATAATTGAAAACAGAACATTACTGTATTTTGAGCACTGTAATGATTTAATTCCTCCATATTGGTTGTGCTTCACCATTCAGCTTCCTTTACTCAGAACATTTTTCACGTTCTCTAGATTTGATCCTCAATAATTCTCAAGGGAAATTTTTTGAAAGCTGATTTTCTAGAACACTGTCTAGGGCAAAAGGTTGACTGTTGAAAATGCTTGTGAATTACCAGGCTCAGCAGAAGCAATGCTTTTCCTACAGTGAAAGGGCAGACTAGAGGGGGAGCAGAGAGGGAACTCCAACAAAGTTTAACACAACAGGGCACACAGAGGGTGATTGTAAATGGAAGCTGCTGAGAGACCCTTATTTTCTCTGTTTATTTGTAGGGAGTGAATCCACTGTCAATTCTGTGGCAATGCGCATTGTAATGGGAAGCTGGTGGCTCTTCACCCTTATCGTGTGCTCTTCCTACACAGCGAATTTAGCAGCATTTCTCACAGTATCAAGGATGGATAATCCCATCAGGTAAGAGCCTCTTTTTAACACGAAGCTAGAAACCTGGATTTCACAGGACAGTATTACCCATTTGAGCACTCATTCTTGCAAGAAAGAGATAACTCTGCTTATTTTCAGTGTCTGTTTTTCTCTTCTCTCCCCCTCTCCACCTTCACTCCAACAGCCCCCAAGCAGTTTTGACAGGTGCATGGAGGGGACAGTGGCCCTTCAATTGTGCATTTTTCCAGAAGAGAGGTCTTTCATGTGCTCCTGGTTGTTTGGTGGCGATTTGTGTATGTGTGTATGTAACTTGGGGGGGTTTCATCAAATTTAAAGGCTAAATAATTTTTTCATTTCTTTCCTCACAAAAACACGGACAAAATTCCCAACTTCACACTGGCCTGGAGTACTGGGAGGGCCATTTGTCTTTACTGAAAGGGTAAGAGCCTGATAGCTTATGTTTGATTTGATGGCAGTGGAGTGAAGAGGTGGCAGTGCAGCACAGGCTCTCCATCTGGAAAATTCGGAGGCAAAGATTTCAGGTGCTAGAGGGTGCCACAGTTAAGTTGCTGGTCGCCTTTGGGATTGCATTGGGAAGAGTGAGACTGAATATTCGTGCTCGCCTCCTGAAACAGAAGAGTTGTCAGTGAGGTGAGGCTGGCACTTAGAAAGTGGCTTTTGCCTTCTCTGTGGTATCTGCAGAGAAGGACATGAATAAGTGCATTTCTCATAAAGCTGAGTTCAACAGCATTTTCAGTTTTTAGCTTGTCAATGTGTACTTGCATAATGTAACATTTTTTATGGATATAGTCTTTTAATAATAATAAAGTCTGCCCAAAACCATAACAAGCTTTGGTCTTAAATTAATATTCTGTTAGTTTGGCCAAAATAAGTGGGTCTTAACCATAATAGAAATAAATACTCCAAGTAATTTCTGGAAATAACATGAGAAACTATATAGAATAAAACTTTGTATGAATAAAATCTATATGTGAGGCCTGGATGTACTTGGAAAAAGGTTAAGCTCAATGAATAAATTGCTCTTGAAAACCAAGACACAGATAGCTATCCAGAAAGCTTGAAAAATTATATTCTTAAAAAATTCTGAAAGTTCTATTTCTTTCGTTGCGGAAGAGTTTTTCTGTTTGGGCTAATTAGCATTTCCTAAAACTTAGCAAAGTTCAGAGGAGGACAAAAGTTGGAGTGTAATTGCGTGAGGAATCTCCAAAAAAAGACAGTGGTTTAAGAGCAGAACTATGAATTTTTAGAGGAGGCCTTTGAGGCTGAGCTGTTACAACATTTACAAGGGGTTTTGATTTCCCTTCTTTTTAAAATGAAAGGACATTGCTGAGAATCTTGAGGAGGAGAGAAGTTCTGTGGGTAAAGGAACTGCTCAGTGTTGTTTCACGAGCAAAGACCCAGGCACCCTTCTACTGTTAGAAATGGCAGCTGGAGAACAGTAATGAAATGCCTTTCTATATCTAACAGCACCTGCTGCTTTGCAGGTTCCTGTTATCCCCTTGTACAAGGTGAGGATACAGAAGGAGGAAATCACTCTGTTGTGATTTGAAAACATCAGCAGAGTCATTCAGGTACCAAAATGTAAATTCCGAAAGTAATTTAAGCTGCCATAAGGCTTCACTGCCTCTGCTGCAGCTACTTGGCTCTAAGGTCAGGGGTCTCCATCAGGAGTTGTCAGCCACAATGCGGATTGTTCATATTGCCTGAGATGTCAAAAGTGGTCCTGGATGCTTAGGTACCCAAATCATTCCTGAGGTACTCTGAAACGGAACTGTCAGAATACTCTCTAAGTTGATCGCTGGTTGGCATAACTGAGACAGTTAAGAGACTGGCTTGTCTTGGCTTGCCTATGGCTATTTTACAACTTTTGCATGACGTCCCCAAGGTGTTGTTACTCGAGAGAAAGAGATCTGGACTAACACCTCTCATTGAAAACTGTGATTGCCTTAGGAAAGAGGAAATGGGATAAAGAAGTAGGTCTCTCTTCATACACCTCAAAGTTATGATGAAGATATTTTCATGTCCCTACTCTTTAGGAGAAACATAAAATGTTTTGTCAGATTTAGAGCATATTATTTTCCTGAGAAAGTAAATTACTGCCCTACCTGGATTCATTGTGTCTCAGCTCCCAGTACTAACTGGCTTCAGAACCATATAATGTGGAGTGGCTATTTTTGCCTCTCTCACTCTGCCCTCAGCTTACCCACATTATATCTTTCATGAACCCAGAAAGGAATACTTATGTGAAATCCATTTTTCCCACCCAAAGAGGCACAATGAATTACAGTTGAAAACTTGCTCACCAGCTGAGAGCTACCAAATCCATCTGTGTATGCTTCCATTGTTAAGAGAAAACAACCTCCATCCTTTCAGTAAATGTGTGCTGTTATCTCTCCCTCTATAGAGAAGTCCTCTGGTGTTCAGTACTACTGCAGCTAAATTGCCAGCAGGAGAGAAATAAGTATTATGGTGCTGCAGTAGCTGCTACATAGTTAAGATTTTCATTACAAGGCTGATTTTCTTCCCAAGCCCTTTCCAAAATGCTTAATAAAAATTGTTTCAACATCAAATTTGGCATGTGTGGTCTGTGAGTAGCAAAATAGAAGTATGTTTGATTGAATGACTAGGTGTCAATCAATCCAGTGATCGTTGCCTTAACAATTTCACTGCAAAAACAAGTGTGTCATAGAAATCATAAATTATATTTATTAGAAGGGGCTTGGTGAGACATTCACTGTAGCAAAGTTGAACTGTTGGAAGGCAGCTTTATAAAATTAGAATGTCAGATGAAAACCTGCTCATAGGTGAATAATTTTTTTGGTTTATGTCTGGTGTAGTTAAGTCTCACTAGAGTATTCCACCCTGCCATGAGTTTTAGAGACTTCCTGTGGTTCACACAAAGGTGAAATACCCAGAGCAGGAGGCATGACAGGAAGTAACTTTGATGTGCCACCTGTATTCCTGTTTCCTGAAAGATATTTCCTAAATCCTAAACAGGTTCCCAAGTGCTTATCTTGAAAAGAAAAATATCCTTCTCCTGGCATTTTCCCAAACCCTCAAGGGCTTCATCACACGCATGCTAACAGGAGGAGGCATTGGCTTTCTGGCCTGCCATGGCAGCACATGCTGCCTTGCTCCTCACATGCTCTGTGTGCCCATCTCTCATCCTTCTGTGACAGGGTGGTGGGGAGAGTGTGAATGTGGAGTTTAAGACCCACATCAAAACCTCTGTCCCTTCAGAAGATCAAGGCTAGCAGGAAACAATGTGAACCTTCCCTAGCTGTTCTCCATTTTTGGTTTCTAGCAGACTGTGCTTCTGCTCCCCTTTGCTCTTTTAATGCTGCTTCTCTAATCCCTCTGTCCGTATGACCTCCTTCACTTCTCATCTTCTCTCTGCCTCAACCTCACAACAAGGGAGCAAAGGCAGTGTCGTGGTTATCTCAGAATTTCTGTGTTTATAGAGTTTCACAGGCAAGGCAGGGAAACATCAAGTAGATTTCCTGGCCACATATGGGCAGAGGAGTGAGATATTACCCAGTTCAATAAAAAACAGGGAAGGTGGTTTGTGTGAATGTGCTGGTGGCAACTGCTTTGGAGCTCAGGTCAGGAAGCTGTAATTTTGTAAATGGTTAGTTCTCAAACCACTCATGGTCTAACTTTGTAAATGAGTAGTTCTCAATTTTTGTTTTGAGACAAAAATCTTCGTAATCTTTAGAGCCTGTGCTAATACTTGACAGACTCATTTAAACCCAAATAATTTGCATAATACTCGCCTCCAGTACTGGGTCAGTCTGCTAAGTAAGGCGGAATTATTACATACAAGTTTGTTCTTTCTTTTGTGTTAGTACATTTTCAAGCAACTCTTGGATCTGCTGTCTGACCTTCCATTTGTAATTATGAGTTTAATTAGCAGTGACTTACATTCCAGCCTCATTTCTTGCTAACAAGCAGACTACACGCAGTTCAGTAGCGGCACAAATATTCTGAAACTCAGGTTTTGGAGAGCTTGTTTGACAATATGTTAAGAATCACGCAAGAAAAAACAGGACATTAAAAAGTATTCTATTTGCAAATTCAAAAGAGTTTAAATTGAAGATTTTATCAAATTGATCCTTAACATTTGTATGTGCTGTGGGTGTTTTGACAGGCATCTTTATATATGCATTCATGGACTGCATACAAATGCGTGCTATGTCTCCTTCTAAGTTCACAGCTGTTGTTTCATGGTTTGGGGTTTCCTTATTTGCATTTTAATCCCCGAATTTCCTGTGTTTTGGTGGCAGCTGAAGATTTACTGCAGCTTAGTTGGGGTGATAGGCTGGCACTTGGAAGACTTGGGTGCAAATTCTTTTTCTACCACACGCTTTGTTTGATCTTGGCAAGCTTAACCTCCTCTCTTGTCTCGGTTCTCTTTCTGCATAACAGAGTAATAATATTTTCTTATCTTATATGGCATGTTGTCAATTTAGCTGCTTTAAAGATGATGGCCAGAAATGATCATATTATAGTAGCACTGCAGGTATCAAAAAATATAGAGTTTCTGGGTTGCATACAAAACAGAAACAATCTCAAAATATTTTAAAAGAAAATGAAGAAAGTACTTGGAAGATGCCAGCTAGAGGGAAATGAACAAAGGTTTCATATGCTGTAGTTAAGTGAATTTGATAGGGTTGATAGCAAGAACCTTGCAGGAATCCCTCTGTATTTTCAGCGATTTTGTCTTGAAATTCCTATATTTGAAAACAGCCTTTCTGTTGTTCATATCATACTTGGCTTTTAAAATATTTCATTGGATTATCATCTGTTATGTTTAATTTGCATGATGTTTTGTGGTGTCTGTGCAGCACCTCAGGCACGTTGGCAGGAGGCATGTAGGAAAAAGCATGATAAAAAATAATTATTGTTATTATTATTTAAGGCCTGTGAGCAAATGCTTCGATCACTACATAACTAGATTAAGTTCATCCGTAAAAAAAAGAAAGCTAAAAAAGAATGGAAGAAGGATGCAA